CTTTTAAAGACAAAGGGCACACAACTATTGAAATTCATGAGAGGATAGCATGGTTAGTGCATAACAACCAGCTTAAAGGTTTGCTTGTTGTTGGTGATTTGAAGCGATTTTTACCATATATTAATTGTAACATAACCCACTGAGATGCATGGAAGCACACTGATCATATGAGAAAGTAGAGAAAGGTTATATGTTCATTCTCAACATCTATTTTATGTATTCAGTGTTTTGAAGGAAAAAAAATCACGTTTGTATACCGGAAGAACACTGAAACGCTAAGTAAACTTATACATATATTGTATAGTAATAAGGTTATTTACAAAGGAAGATAATTTTCAAAATAATCAAATACATTATGAATTTACTTCTTTGATACATGCATGTACCATTGTTACATTCATTGTATTCCTGTAAATTATATATGGGTACATATATTGTAAAGCCATGAATCAGGATATGTATATACAAAATTGTGTAACATATTCGATTATTTTTTTAAGTGTTTGACTCCTCTTCATGGCTGGTCTTTTTGGTGTTGTTTTCGCATCATTATTTCACTAGCATATATACAAAGAGCGAACTAAACGGTCTTTAAAGGTTTTACTGCTATTCTTAAAAAGCAAAATTAGACCATTTGTGACTAACATCCTTTTGTAATATGAGCAATAGGTCGGTATGAATGTCAACTATAATTTGATAAGGTGCACAATCTAAGCGTTCACTCTTACCCCAATGCAAAAGAGGTTGGTCTTTTATTATCATGATTATGATATTGAGTAAAATAATGAGTGATATGCATATACAACAATGATAATTTCGTTAATAAGATTTGAAACTTTCGATATTTGTTCATCAAAATACGCATAGATGTTTTGTGATTATACACGACGATTTTTTAAAAGAATTTACTATGAGATTCGTAGATTACTGTACCATATACATAATATACTCTTCTGTACAAATACAGAAGATATGCTGCAAAGCATTCAAAATATGGGCAACAATATTCGTTATATACAATTCATTGTCAATTCATGTGAACGATTAATATACAATATCATAATGAATAAACTACATCATTAACGAATACCACATATTACCTTTATAATCCTTCCACATTTCATATCATATGATTAACAATACGTGAAGAGTTTCTTTATTACTATTACCATTTCCTCATCACGCAAAGTGAGGTCAATACACTTCTACAAAGGCACCATTAAACAGACTGCATTGGATATACCTACATGCATGCGTTGAGTTGTTATCTGTTTCTCTTGTCCTTTCTTTCTTGTTTTATATTTACACTTGCTGTTACACTGATATGTGCGCCCTTTTAATATGGATTTCATTCTACTACAACAAAACACAACACTGTAAAACAATATATCACTTTCTGCATGGGTACATACTTATATAATTGTCAGGGTTTGATAACGTTCTTTATTCCAGATAAAAGCGAGAAAGCAAACATTTTCAATTTTTAACAAAACAAACAGCTTATGGATTGTGATTGTTGTTGTTATTGTATTGAAGCGAATTTAACCAATATTAAAAGTAATATAACCCACTGAGGTGTATGGAAGCATACTGATCATATACGAAACTAAAAGAAAGTTATATGTACATTCTATACATCTATTTTATTTATTCAGTGTTTAAAAGAACACATTCAAATTTGAATAGAAGAACACTGGAAGACTAAGTAAACTTATACGATATATTGTAAAGCGATAACATTATTTACAAAGGAAGATAGTTTTACAAATTTCTCTCGTTTGCAAAATTATCAAATACATTAGGAATTTACTTCTTTCATATATATATGTACCATGTTACCTTCATTGGATATCTGTAAACTATATATATAGGTAACATATATTGAGTTCAGTTTAAGTTGAGTTTATTTTATTTATACACTGTAAAAGCCCGAAAAAAGTTCGCAGACTGGTTTCCGTCAATCAGGGCCGTGTTAAAATAAAGCAACATAATCATGACATATAAACAAAAGTAATATAACACTGGCAAATGTTCAACCATAACACAACAATCTATAGAAAATAAGTTAAAAACATTTAAGTTAATTACGACTATATTGATAGGCCTAAAAGATAAACAATTAAGTTATGATCATCAAAATATATCGGTAAATATATATATATATATATATATATATATATATATATATATAGTATAAACAAAACGAAGTGTAAAAATATAGTTAAGAACATATGTATGTATTTATGTAAAATATTAAATAAGTAAACATTTAAAACTAAAACAAAATAAAACACATATTACATATACAAAATTATACATTATACATATATTATACTTTTTAAATTAAGACAAATGAGTATTCCAAATGATGTAGAAAGTATAGCCATACATCAGAATATGTGCATACATAAATGTGTTAATTATTCAATTATTGTTTTTAGTTTTACTCTCCTCGTCATGGCTGGTATATTTTGTATAACAATTTTCTGTTATTCTTTAATGGGAAAATTAGATCCTTTGATACCGACATACTTTCGTAATATGAACAAATATGCCGGTATGAACGTCAAAGGTAACTTCAAAATGTGCACAATCTATGCATTTATTTTATCACAAAATACCAATAAGTTTGCGTTTTATTATCATGATTATAATATTGAGTAAAATAATAAGTAATATATATGTACAACATTAATCATATCGTTACTACGACTTCGAACTTTCGTTATTCAATTTTCGAAATACGCAGGGAGGTTCGGTTATTATACAGGACAATATTTGCAAATCAATTTACTCTGATTTTCATAGATAACTGTAACAGATATATATGCATACTGTACTCAACAATACACTAGATCTTACATTTCTATTTAGAAGATAAGCTCCGACGGTAGGCAAAATAATTGGAAACGAGTCTTTACAAATCGTAAATAATTCATAAACGATATGCATGACTTGTATCGACTAATAATAAACAGCATTAGCGACTACCACTAATAACTATCAATATGTCTTACATATTTCATATTGTATGATTAACAATACGTGAATACGTGTTCGGTTTTTCTTAGGCACGATGAAATGCAAATCATATATTGTAAGTCCACAATGAGTTTCATTATAAAGCCGTGACATTTAAACTGCGGCTGACATAGATATTTGAAATTGATACACTTAAATTTCAGTATAGATGACACAACAAATATTCAAAAGATGATAGCAGGATCAGAGTTTTGGCACATTATGTATGCTAAGCCGTATAGACTCTACATATAGTACACGATAAACAGGACAGGAGAATACGACCCTCAGATTCGTTACCGTATGCTAGATAACCGATTTAAGATAACGGTATACATATAATGCAATCAGGAAAACAGCATAATGGGTCAGCTCTAAGCCTCAATGTGGCAAGGAGAGTGTAACAGAAGGAGGACTCAATCTGCTTTTGACGGACGTTTTAAAAATAGTTCTGCAAAGATATTTTTAATCACATTTTATATTTGTTCTATTTACAAAGATAATATAAAGAAACTTGCTATTTGTACGTGACTATAGTGTGCTTCTATTCACTTTACAACTTATTCAAACTCTGGGATTCAAATATTCTTAGATTATGAAATTAATATGTTATATACACTAAGCATAACTCCATGTAGTAAGTTGCTTTATATATAACATCATATTCTGCAACGAAGCACAATTTCTCTATCGGGCGTGGCTTGTGATGGGAATGGCGTTATATAACATAAGACACGCATTAATACCAATTCAAGCCGTTCTGTATTACATGTACATCAATGTAAACTATATCAGTAAAAGTAGACATACATGTTAAATATATTCAAAAAAATAATTGATTAGGCCAAACAAATTATGTAGTACATGGTGTTCAACAGCAATGTTAAAGAGACTAAAAGTAATATAAATAACATTAGTATACAAAAGAAAAGAAACGCAGACTTTATGAGAAAACAAATCATTTTACCATAATGTGCGCTATAAAAAGATTGTGTTTGAAAATTAAAACAACTGTTTAGTCTTATAGTGACACACCGATAAATAACCAGATATCGTTATTTGAAGCCAGACAGGCGTAATTTCTGTGTTAATGTGTTTGACTTTCTGCTTTCAAACAGAGGATATTTACAATATGATTATATATTTACATCTTGTATCTAATATTGTTAACTCTCTGACGTCATTAAAACAATTTATAATTTTGAAAATTGTATATAGCCTACATTCACTAAATCTATACCATTTTGTTTAATTTTTAAATGTAACACAAGGTTCAAGTTGAAAATGGTGAAAATTAAATCCGAACAGAAATCACACTCTAAATTAACATTTGCATGATTGGTGATGACAATATACTTGGCAACATGGGTATCATAGATCTTTATAGTAGTGTTCATCGTGCACATGTCGATCCACGTAGTAACTCATATGACACCACCATGGTTCAAGTTGGGGTCAGACATGGCCGGGTGATAGCAATCTACAGTATTTAAAAGGCCTGGTCTATGTCAAATCATCAAGCTGATAAAATAGAATGTCATCGATATTAAAAACACTGTTGGTCATAATGGTGGAATATTTATTTTTACCCCAGTTTAGGGAAGGATTTAAAAAAATATTTATTTCTAATAGATATGGATAATGGCATACATTCTCAGATTTTATTGAATATTAATTTTCGATTGTTTGTTTTGCGTGACTGCTTAATCATATGTGTGCTACTATGCTAATCAGCTAAGGGACCTACGTCCTTAAGTCATAATTGACATGAGGATTAATGCCTCACAAAAGGGCACTAATACATAGCTGATTGACACGATTTTCATCATGGGGCCTCACAGTAACGAGGCCATTGCTTAGCCCCTAAATCATGACTGTACGCAGTGTTTGCTAGGGTGCGCGGCCCCTTCCTTAAATCCCCCAAAACAAAGAAAATGCAATAAATTGTCGAAAATTCATTGCATTTTCCCCCGGCCCCCAATAGGAAATATTCCTCTGTAGGGCCATGCATTATGATTCAAGGCATGGCCACACAGAGGAAATAAAGCAGACCATAGACTATTAAACAAAGCATACATACACATGACAACAAATTGAAAAGTAGGCCATTTTGACATTTTCTTTCAAATAAAGACAGATAAGTATGAATATTAGTACATTGTATACATTAATGAAATTCGAATTCGAAAGATAATATATGTTCACATTTATTTGTTAGTATTACACTATTTTGTGAAATAAGAAAGTGACATCACGTATGAAGACTTTGTGCTTAGTATATTGTAACAAAAGCGAGGATGTATATGAACAGGTATGTGAAGTGCCACATAGAAGGAAGCATGGACTGCCTACAAGCCCCTGACCCTGTATGAGACTCTATCTGGAGTGTGGGAGTAGTTACCGATGTAGGTACAGTATTAACAATCTGCCTTGTAGTTTCTTTGCTATGTGGCCACTCGAAGTCATTGCACGTTGTTTCATTCACATATGAGGTTACATCATGTGAGCAACAAGAAAAATGAGTGTAATCGTGTAGCCAGAATATACCTCTAGTAATTAGCCCGTTATCTGTAATATCACCCGTGACGTCAATCCTCTGATCATTCTGGTAACATGATATCGTGGTTGTAACGCTTCCAGTGATGGCTCGACAGTGTACTTCATAAGGATAATCAACATTTTCACTTAAAGTGATGAAGCATTTTGCTCGTACGGGTGGAATTTGTACAACAATCTCCTTCTGAATAGTTTCATACCTAACGTTTTCAAAACTATTCCAGACTGCCTTTAAAACGTACCCATCCTCGTCTAGACTATCAACGTTATCTATAATCAGATTCACGCAGGGAGAAGTGTCTAAATCTGTGACTGAGGTGGTAAATCTTGGTACCTGGGAGAAGCTTTTAAAGCCCTTGACATCAACTGTTCCATTAATGCAGAATGGACGAGGCATAGATTTAAATCCAAGCGTAAAATAACCGTGGGATGTACTATTAGGTGGCCAAGGGAGATGGAATGGGACTACACCAGGTTTACCTGCCTGTAGCATGACCCGTTCGGTGATATCGCTGCCTGCTACAAGAGCCGGACTTCCAGCACGAATGATGGCCACAGCAATAATCATCTGCAGGAAACTTTGTACGAGGGCCAGGATTGAAGGACACCGGTGAACCAATTTTTGACGTTTGGTCTAAATCAAAAGGGTATAAATTTGAAAGAGAACGTTGATGAAATTTGACAAAAGTCACGGAATATCTCAGTCAGCAAGCATCCGATATGAACAATACAAATAGGGGGGGGGGGGGGGAGGGGAGACCATTCAATGTTTAAATTCAATGTTCAGCAAGGAATCAAGTGACACTTCTCAATATATGCGAAAGATTAAAGGGATAGTTGAGTTCTGTTTTCAGACCGCAAATGCCTTCAAAGTGCATGGTTATTGCTCTTATTCTTATCTATGACATTTCTAGTGCCCTTTTATATAGAACCTAACATTGCTATGAAGGTAATTTTAGATCCCAAAATGTGTGAAATTTAGCCAATACGATCATACCAATTCAGCTCTACTTTAAAAAAAAAATCCGGGACCGTTAATTAATTATTAAATTAAAAATAACAAAACATGGGCCGGCTGTTTGTGCGTAATATAAACAACACGAAAACGCCAACAAAAAAGCCAACATCGGCATTGGCTGAAATTCGTCTTAAAAGGCGCCATTTCGTTTTTTCAACGTCTTTTTCAAATTATCTAATATTTGTGGTGGTACACAAGTATTAGAAATCGTTATAGTTATGGATATTTCAGCCGTCTCAGAACCGATTTTGATCAAACAGAGATGATTTTGTCATTTAAATTGTATGTTACACTCCATTTTTCATTATCTCACAACAAAATATTTTGTTTAGCGCCCTCTGCAACAGAACTCAACTATCCCTTTAAGTTATATTAATTCCTTACCCCCTGAAAGCGAATAGCAAATATAACGAGGCAGTAAAAACCTGAATTGATAATGAGCGCCTACCTGATGTACAAATCGTAGAGGTTACGAATTTCATTTAATTCACCATCAACACTATTGATATTCTGCTAGTGTTCTAATATACATTTTGTTTTGCACAGATGCAGAATGATAATCCATTTTTATCTTAAGCTTGTTATTTTATTGCATAACTTCCACAGCAATTAGTTGATAATTAATAAATAGGAGCAATAATTATTTCTTACCCCGATATTCCAAACTGGGTTTGAGGAGGTTCCTTGGGTGGATACTAGCTTTCCGTCATACGACTTTTGGTGAACGACAGCTGGAGGGTGTGTGTGGAAGCTGTTGAATTTAATTGTAGATATTAGAGTTAGCAGATGTAAGGAGAGACCAACATAAGCCAATTAAATTGGGTCCGAGTAGCGTCTACTCAGATGATGATATTTCTGGCCCATTAAAGGAATACAAATTAATAAAATAAAAATGTATGTATGAATGTTAACAAATAGTTATACATTTACATCGCAGAAGCACAAACGTGGCCAACAAAAATTTACTAGATTAAAAAAAAATCGTCTTCGACAGTGCCCTTGGTACCGCAACAGGTGTTGGTTCACTGTTTTCTAGCTTCTTAAGGATCAAGTCCAGACAGGTAATAAGTGCTTTAATCCTGGTAAAAGGTGATGTCATACAATTTACGTACATGTACATAAGCCTTTTTTTTCGTAAACGATTATTTGTATAAATTAGGAAGAATATGCAAAATAATTATGAATATCAATAAACATGAAGAAAACTGTTGTTGTCAATGATGCTAGTAATTGGGGAAGAAATGTTTGCATTAAATACATCTCGTTCTACGAATAATAACGTTTGCTCATATAAAAGAAACGGATATTGACTCGTACCTCTCAAACTTCACTGATGTGTCACTGATTGGTAGATCATTTCCATCCTTCATCGGTGAAGAAGATCCCTGGCGGGGAAAAGTTAATTTCAGAAAATGTCATATTAGAGTGCTGTGAAATGAAATGATCTAAGAAGACATAATGCCGAAAAAACTAGTTTTGGTTAAAATGGATGCTCTAGGAAGAATTAGACAAAACAACGAGTAAGACAATCTTTACAATACATGCATAGAACGAACACGTTATTGTTTCTCACAACAGACCAAATAACAGACCAATGTGTATAATATTGTTGTACGTAATTTTTCATTCTCTATTTCTACTATTTCTCATGCATAGGTGTGTTGAAAGCAAACTTATTACGAAATCTTTACCATAGGGCCATGTTCAAAAGGTCATTAATCTTGCTCTCTACGAATCTTTGTTTGTCGTCTTTATGATGACAATAGAATTGGCTGAATGGTTGCTTCAAAACGAAACTTTCTAGTACAAAGTTTCAATAAAATATATGCTTTGAGAAAACTGAAATATTTAATAACCACTCACTCTTGTTTCCGTGTTTTCATCAATTAGTGAGTGACATCTGGATTTCGGTTCTTCAGACGGGTGACCGTCAGTCTCCATGGTTTGTAGATGGGGTGGATCGAATCCGCTGTATTGCCATGTCTGATGTCCCCGCAAGGTAGAACCGTCTGCCCCAGTTGTTGTCACGGGGCTCTTCATTGCTTCAATCTGATCTAGCACTGGATCTTGTTCACCTTTTTCAGGATATTTCAGCTTAGCATGGATGAAAGGATTGTGTTCTTCTCTGCCACTTTCTTTATCATCATGGGTCCCGATGGGAATATTCTTCAAGGAGAGTTCGTCGTCTCCTCTCTTCGCATTATCAGCTTGATTGCAGTCATTCTTATCTTCTACATTGTCTACCTGAATTGCTAACTGCCTCGTGTGTGACCTCGTGTCTGCATCCTTCATTGTCACCGTCACATATTCTCCTTCGATGAGTTTCTGGGATCCACGGGAACGTGGATCTCGAGTGTCTTTCTCACCCGGGTCACCTCTACAAGGTGAGATGACTTTTATTGCATTCAGATGGTCTGCGTTCGCTGTTTTCTGAAGCGGCGTAGAACCATCTATGTCCCTCACGTTCACGTGTACTCCATTCAATGCAAGGTAATCTACTACATCTCGATGTCCTTCTTGTGCAGCGGCTTCGAGTGGTTTCCATCCATCACGATCTTGTTCATTGACATTAGCTTTGTGATGAACGAGTAATTTCACGATATTCATGTTGCCAGTGTAGCATGCTGCATGAAGAGGGGACTTCCCGCATTCACTTTTCTCATTCACATCACATCCTTTTGAGACAAGGAATTTTACCACATCAACATGGTCATACCGTGATGCAATGTAAAGCAGTGTCAATCCTTCAAACCTGGTACCCTGAGCTCCTTCTGCAAAGAGAACATTGACAACCTCCAAATGGCCGTTACTGATTGCAGCATGTAATGGCGTCCACCCATCGTTACCATTCTTGTTCAAATCAGATCCTTGCTGAATGAGATATTCCATAACTTCCATGTGGCCTCCAGCAGCTGCACCGTGGAGAGGAATCATCCTTCTGTCATCTTCTTCGTTCACACCAGCTCCTTTGGAAATGAAGAATTTGACGATATCCAAATGACCCAATCGTGCTGCGAGATAGAGTGGGGTCATCCCATCATATCTGTTCTGCTTTGCTCTTATAGTCATGAGATATTTCACGGCTTCTATGTGGCCCTCTTGAACGGCAGCATTGAATGGAGTCCAACCCTTGGCATTAGCCTCGTTCACACTAGATCCTTGCTGAATAAGATATTCCATAACTTCCATGTGGCCTCCAGCAGCTGCACCATGGAGAGGAATCATCCCACGGTCGTTTCTTTTGCTCACATCAGCTCCTTTGGAAACGAAGAATTTGACGATATCTAAATGACCCAATCGTGCTGCGACATAGAGTGGGGTCATTCCATCGAATCTGGGCATCACTTTTGTTCACATCGGATCCTTCTTGAATGAGATATTCCAAGACTTCAGCGTTACCGTGAATAGCTGCGCCGAGCAAAGGTATCCGACCCGTATCAGTTTCTTCGTTCACATCTGCTCCTTTATAAATAAAGTATTTGACAAGATCAAGATGGCCAAACCCTGCAGCGGCATAGAGTGGGGTCATACCATCATATCTGTTCTGCTTCGCTCCTTCAGTCATGAGATACTTGACGGCTTCTAGATGGCCGTACTGAACAGCTGCATTGAATGGTGTCCAGCCCTTGGCATCTGCCTTGTTCACATCAGATCCGTGTTGAATGAGATATTCCAAGACGTCAGCGTTACCGTTAATAGAAGCACCGTGCAGAGGGATCCGATCTACATTGTATTCTTCGTTCACTTCAGCTCCTTTGATATTGAAGAATTCGACAATATCTAAATGACCAGACTGGGCTGCGGCATACATTGGGGTCATTCCATCATATCTGTTCTGCTTCGCTCCTTTATTTATGAGATATTTGACGGCTTCTAGATGGCCATTTTGAACGGCAGCATTGAATGGTGTCCAACCTTTGACGTCTGCCTTGTCCACATCAGATCCTTGCTGAATGAGATATTCCATGACTTTCATGTGGCCATGAGCGGCTGCACTGTGGAGAGGAATCCTACCTTTGTCATCTTCTTCGTTCACATCAAGTTCATTGGAAATGAAGAATTCAGCGATATCTAAATGACCAAAATGAGCAGCTGCATAGAGTGGGGTCATACCATAATATCTGTTCTGCTTCGCTCCTTCTGTCATGAGATATTTGTTGTTGATCCTTGTTGAATGAGATATTCCATGACTTCTAAGTGGCCTTCAGCAGCTGCACTGTGGAGAGGAATCATCCCTTTGTCATGTTCTTCGTTCACTTCATCTCCTTTGGAAATGAAGAATTTGACGATGTCTAAATGGCCGTAATGAGCTGCACAATAGAGTGGGGTCATATCATAATATCTGTTCTGCTTCGCTCCTTCAGTAACGAGATATTTGACAGCTTCTAGATGGCCATATTCAACAGCAGCATTGAATGGCGTCCATCCGGTGTTATTTTTCTTGTTCACATTGGATCCTTGTTGAATGAGATATTCCATGACTTTCACGTGGCCTCCAGCAGCTGCACTATGGAGAGGAATCCTCCCTTTGTTATCTTCTTCGTTCACATCAGCTCCTTTGGAAATGAAGAATTCGACGAGGCGTAAATGACCAAATTGAGCTGCGCAATGGAGGGGGGTAATTCCATCAAATTTGTTCTGCTTCGCTCCTTCAGTCATGAGACATTTGACAGCTTCTAGATGGCCATATTGTATGGCAGCATTGAATGGTGTGCACCCGGTGTTACTTTTCTTGTTCACATCAGATCCTTGTCGAATGAGATATTCAATGACCGTTATGTTCCCGTTGTTAGCTGCGCCGTAGAGAGGAATCCTCCCTTTGAAATCTTCTTCGTTCACATCAGCTCCTTTGGAAATTAAGTAGTCCACTATGTGTAAATGACCACATTGTGCAGCGACATAGAGTGGGGTCATTCTATCAAATCTGTTCTGCTTTGCTCCTTCAGTCATGAGACATTTGACGGCTTCTAGATGGCCATATTGTACGGCAGCATTGAATGGCGTCCACCCACTGTTACTTTTCTTGTTCACATCAGATCCTTGTCGAATGAGATATTCCATGACTTCTATGTTCCCAGTAATAGCCGCACTGTGGAGAGGAATCCTACCTTTGTCATCTTCTTCGTTCACATCAGCGCCATTGGAAATGAATAGTTCAACGAGATCTAAATGACAAAAATGTGCTGCGGCATAGAGTGGGGTCATACCATTATATCTGTTCTGCTTCGCTCCTTCAGTCATTAGACATTTGACGGCTTCTAGATGACCGTATTGAACGGCAGCATTTAATGGTGTCCAACCATTAGCATCACCCTTGTTTAGATCAGATCCTTGTTGAATGAGATATGTTATGGCTTTAACGTTACCGTTAATCGCTACACTGTGGAGAGGAATCATCCCCGTGTCATGTTCTTCGTTCACATCATATCCTTTCGAAATGAAGAATTTGACGATGTCTAAATGGCCAAATCGTGCTGCAGCATATAGTGGGGTCATACCGTCATATCTGTTCTGCTTCGCTCCTTCAGTCATAAGACATTTGACGGCTTCGAGATGAGCGTATTGAACGGCAGCATTTAATGGTGTCCACCCGGTGTTACTTTTCTTGTTCACATCAGATCCTTGATGAATGAGATATTCCATGACTTTCAAGTGGCCTCCAGCAGCTGCACTGTGGAGAGGAATCCTCCCTTTGTTATCTTCTTCATTAACATCAGCTCCTTCGGAAAAGAAGAAATCGACGATGTGTAAATGACCAAATTGAGCTGCGCAATAGAGGGGGGTATTTCCATCAAATTTGTTCTGCTTTGCTCCTTCAGTTATGAGATATTTAACGGCTTCTAGATGGCCATACTGAACAGCAGCATTGAATGGGGTGAAACCCTTGATGTATTCCTTGTTCACATCAGATCCTTGTTGAATGAGATATCCAATGACCTCAATGTTCCCGTTAACAGCTGCACTATGGAGAGGAACCCTACCTATGTTATCTTCTTCGTTCACATCAGCGCCATTGGATATGAAGAAATCTACAATATCTAAATGACCAAATTGTGCAGCGGCATAGAGTGGTGTCATGTCATCAAATCTGTTTTGCTTTGCTCCTTTAGTCATGAGACATTTGACGGCGTCGAGATGACCGTATTGAACGGCAGCATTGAATGGTGCCCACCCCGTGTTAGTTTTCTTGTTCACATCAGATCCTCGCTGGATGAGATATTCCATGACTTTCAAGTGGCCTCCAGCAGCTGCACTGTGGAGAGGAATCCTTCCTTTGAAATGTTCTTCGTTCACATCAGCTCCATTGGAAATGAAGAAATCTACAATATCTAAATGACCAAATTGAGCTGCGCAATAGAGTGGGGTCATTCCATCATATCTGTTCTGCTTCACACCTTTCGTCAAAAGACATTTGACGGCTTCTAGATTGCCATAATGAACGGCAGCATTGAATGGAGTCCACCCGGTGTTGTCTTCCTTGTTCGCATTAGCTCCTCCTGCAATGAGACCATTTACGATACCGGTATAGCCACTGGATGCTGCTGTATGAAGAGGAGTCTGACCCAAGTCACATTCGACATTCGCGTCCGCTCCCTGCAGGATGAGGAAGTCAACGATGTGTGCATGACCTTCTTGAGCCGCTGCATGAAGAGGACGGAGTCCACCCTTACTTGGTTCATTTGGGTTTGCTCCACGTGAAATGAGATCCTGAACACCTTCGAGATAACCTTCTGAAGCTGCCTTGTACAGCGTTGTGTATCCTTTCTCATCCATCAGGTCTATGTCAGGGTTGAATGGTAGCTCTAGTTCGAACACACTGGCATCACTCAGTCCCGTGGACAGTTTATTCAGTCTATTCAAAACTTCTTTCTTTCTAATCTTCAAGCTGTCTAAGATTTCTGTCGATTTGATGCACTTGTCATCAGCAGATGTGTCGGTATTCAAATTTACAAGAGTATCGTGTGACAGCTCTGTCTTCTCGTCCTCTATATCTGCATCAGGTCGAAGTAATGTAGGCGTATTAGATAGTACATTATATCCTTCATCTGTATGTTCTTTCTGTGCTTCATTTTGTTCAATATTCAAAACAACAGATGTATGTTGTGAAGTCATCTTTTGCTGTGATATGATCAGCAGTATACCGGTTCCGTTTTCCCTAAAACAAAAGGCATATTTCGTTTACTCTAAGCGATATTATGGAATTAAGCATTTCAAATTTGTAAAACAATTTCCCGTCATTTTATTCATACTTGTTCGAATTCCATTCTAATCGAAAGGGAATGAATTACAAATAATCACTTGCAACCTAATTGTTGTGTGTCATGAACATGAATCTTAAGCAAAAACAATAGTATGATATGCGATTGAAAGCAGGAAATAAACCATCTCCGGAGAAGAAGAGAAGGGGAAGGGTCAATTTGTTTCATATATGGGATGTAACATTTGAAGTCCATTGCCGCGTATTGATACCACATTAACTGTTTTCAAAGGAAGTTGAAAGCAAGTTATGCATTTGTAGATAAAGATTCGTGAGGGACAATGTGAGATTTAAAAATAAAATGTAATATAAAAATGGTAAAATAAAGGCGAATTCAGTCTTATCATTAATACAAGCCGCAAGGACTAATAAACAAAATCAAAGCTTTTATTCTGGATGGTGTGTGTCCGTTATAAAATCAAACATTTAATAAAAGGGATTCCGTAAATATGCATTCAACTGAGCGGATATTTCTTTTTTTAAAGTAGAAAGTCTCATGGAAAAGCGATTGGATTATACTGAGTTTCTTCGAAAGGAGGACAGAATTAAATATAAAGGTATTAGTACTGAAACGCGAAAGTGACTGTTTTTCTAAAAAAATGATTTTCACGTGAGACAAATGTGACAGTGTGACAGTGTGACACGATTATCCAAATACAATGAATGACTACATAATAAGGGTGGTTCAAATCAAATGTTTTCATTTCTGTCCATGGAGATGATTTAAAATGTGTAGGCATATACATCTATTATGATCGCGTCATTCGTTCTATTTTCTATTCATTTAATAATACATGTAGTTATCATAATTGACACCCATTTTCCTCTCTCTCTCTCTCTCTCATTCTCTCTCTCCCTCTCTCTCTCTCTCTCTCTATATATATATATATACATCTTTCTCTCTTTGTCCTTTTCTATATTTTGCTGAGCACTCTTCTTTACTTCTTTATTCTTATCATCTCAAGAAATTGTCAATATTTTAGGAGTGAGCAAACGCAGTATGTTAAGTTCTTGTTCATGCAGATAACGATGTTATGAAGAAAATGTGGTCTCACTTTAAAGCTACTTCTATATTATTCACTGATAGATAAACCAGCGATATGCATTAAGCAGGTTTAATTTCTCGAATATGAGTTATTATATTTATTGGAAAGAAATATTTCTCGGTTTACCAGAACCAAGGCGTACGCTTTGCTTGTTCTAGTACGTGTAGATGATGATAGATTAAAACAAAAAACTTACATTTTCCGTTCCTGAATTCCTACGTCACCATCAGCGTCTTGCGAAAGACTCTTCTCATTTTCAGTTTCTTGTTCAAACCCGCCAGATTTCTCAGTGTCCTGAATAAAAATTAAAAAAACCAAATTTCATAACAGTTAATGATTTCATACTTTCACAGTCTGGAGTTAGTCTCTCCAATTATTAATCATTTTGACTTAACGGAGAATTGGGATACCTGGAACAATGTTATATATTGTTGTTGTTCATTTTATGTTGTTTCCCCTGTCAATTGTATGTAGACTGAGGTTTCCTCTTTAATATATAAAACAAAATGACTGACATGAGTGTACGGGTTGCTATAAAAGTCTGCACAGGGAGGAGGCGGCAATGCTAGAGCTCTTGACTAATATCAACCCAAGAACGACAATATGACTGAATTTTGTTTCACTTCAAAGTACATAATCCTTAAAATGCTTAAATACTCAAATTGAAGGTATTTCATCAGTAGAGTCTTTCATGTTATGATGTGACCTTTCCATAAAAAAACTTCAAAATTAAGATGATAAATTGGAAGCACATATTTCTGACGAATGAAGCTCAACAAAGCAAGAAAATGAATACCATTTTTGTATCATGGGTTGAGATAAAAAATCTGGAACACCTACAAACTTAATGAATAGAGATCAATATAATTATTTAAAAAGATGATGTATGCATAAATCTAAGTGACTATCGCCAAATTTTCATTTTGTCAAGCTTTTCAAAAATACTTGAACGAATTGTTTACCACAGAATGTATGATTTTTTGACAAAGAATGACCTCCTTTAATAATCCAAATCAGTTTGGCCTAAGAAAGTCGCATTCACCTGATCTTGCACTAGTGCATTACAGAGTGTCGAATGCCTTAGCTGATCATAAACATTACTACCGTATATAACATACTGTAATTTAATATGAGCGAATTCCAAATGTCTAATCGATTAAATTCTAGGATATCAAAAAGGCAAAACGTATTTGTACTGGTTCTCGCTACAGAGATCATAGCGCCCCCTTGTTTTTGTTTTAATTGAATACCCATAAAACTTCGAATATTTACATTTTACAGACTGCACACTTTGGCCCGAATTCACAACAGTGGTACAAAACCCCCCGGGGGTTTAAACCTCCTTTGTGAATCAGAAAATCAGAGGTTTAAACCTCAGAGGGGGGTTTTGTACGACACCCATGGTACAAAACCTCTTTGTACCACTGTTGTGAATTCGGGTCTTTATGTTTCATACCACTGACAATTGCCTCCTGCTCTGAAAGGTAATTCGAAATATATTATACGTAGTTGCCCAAACATGAAATTCCCTGCTTTAGGATCAAATGAATATTTACTCAGTGTCCAATAAAAGAAATGAATCAGTGAAAATGTTAGGTAAATCCTACAAAAGGATGGGAAAGTTATGAATCTTTAATTTTGTGTCACTCAAACACTATGTCATCTAGCTTCAGTGCACGAAGGGCCATTCTGATTAAATCAATGTTTTTCTATATCAGTGTTTATTGATGGTTAACCATGAATCCCATGATATATATTTAGGATTCAGGTATAAAACTACTATATCGGTTCTTCGATTGCTAAAAAAATTGGTTGGGGTGCTCACAATTCAAAATTCACCCGCTTTGTGTTAGAATAATTACAATTTTAAAAGTTCATATTTTTCTTATCTTTTGTTTGATTTCCTGAATCATTCAGTACTCTTTATTTTTATTATCATTCTGTTTAAGTCATTTTTATATTACAGTGGATTTTGTTGTCTTTCTCTATCGATTGCGGCTCATGAGCCAGGTCATCCGACCCGCCAGACGTTTCGATACTGCGACAAAAGTATTCGACAAAACAAGTCATTTTGGAGCTAATAGAAAAAGACCAAAAAAAAAAATCCTTACTAATTGTAAACATGAAATGAAACAAATGTTCTATTTTGTGGCTCACTGACCATTTAAAACAGAAAACACAGGAGACCGTTAATGTCTCGCGAACCTTATGACAACTGTTTTGGAGGTTCACTAGATCGCCGCCCTACGAGACCTGAAGCCCGCAGGATTTATGTTATGTATTTCTTTGTTTTGCCGGTCTCGTGGGCAGTCGGTTTAAGAAAGATAATGGATAGTCGATCTACTGGGATGAACCATTGAGAAGTGACATCCGATGTTCCATTTAATTGGGAGGAAACTAGTAGGTTCGCTGATTGATAGTTATTTTAATAGTTCTGTCGGCAAATTTTAGGGAGAGATGTTCGTTACGAAATATCATTCCTTTATACTTTAATGTGTAAAACTTTTAAAATGCCTAATCATAAAAATTAATTTTGCTTACCTCGAATGCATCTGTTACTGCTGATTCTAGACTCATCTCCTCGTTATCCGTGTTACCCCTCATTTCGGATGTCCGTGCCCCCATGGTGGAATCATCCTGTACCAATTGAAATGTAACAAAAACCTTAAAAAGGGATCACAATGCATCAAGCTCTGCTTATCTTGGTCAGTTCTGTTTAGTATAAATCTTAATGCAAACTGATTCATTATGTATATGATAATAATTCAAACCCCGAATCCAATAATTTGTGGCGTGCAAGTTATCAAGTGTTGATGTGGAAGATCCCGATATGGCAAGCATCAAATAATCTTGGAAAGTTACGAACGGTTAAGATGAATACTCGACTACAATCTTGATAGCAGTGTCTATTGTAATTGGGTGTTCCTTGTTGTTCTGCCTATTGTTAATTATCGTGGCATGGAAGAAATCAGAAGTCTGCATGACCTTGGAGATACATCCATCAGTTTAGATGCAAGTGTAAGGCGCATTTATACTGTCGAAGTGGTGTTCCTTTGTCTGATATCAAAGGCATCCAATCAAGATAGCATGTATCCTTTTCATGCAACCGAATTGGAAATCCTGTCTATGACATTCCTGATGTCGATTTATAGGCTAGGAATATTGTGTCTTTTTTTAGGTAAACGTCAAACAAATTGCAATAAAATATTTTTCACTGCAATGCATTTTTGTAAGGTCCCCAAAATGACATACTAAAAGTCCAAAAAAATCCAAGTAGTGGAAGTGCCCCTAATTTGCATAAATCCAATATGGCCGCTATTTCGAGGATTTTCACATATATTTTATCATATTTGTCAGCTTGTATAGGCTGTTGTGGCACTGAAGGAGGAGGAAAAGTGATCTGCTGTACATTGTGTATCAACTAAAATACCTATATACTAAAGATACATCACATATCTGAACAAAATCCCCCACACATCCACACCCACACAATCCAATATGTAATTTATGCTCAATTTATTACCTTAGCAGATGGTGTTTTTTCATTATGCACAAGACAAATATAATGTCAATCTAATGATATTGAAAAAAAACTAAAATAAAATATTCAGAAAAACTGGCCCTTATGAGTATTCGTACAAACACAAGAGCTGTTGGTAGGGCTATTAGGGGTACAACCTGTACCTTACATTATCGTCATGGTCATTGGAATTAGAAGTTGTTCTCAGTGTAACAGTTTACTTAAGTTTAGAGATCTGACAAATAGTATATTGCATGCTAATGGCTCATCACAGTACAATTATCCATATTACTGCGGTATTTGTGCTCTCTAGTCACTATTTTTGTCAAATATCCAACTAAGTTAGACCCGTAAGCTTTTATTATGTGATATCCATGATGCCTAATTCATAGTCATTCATTGCAAAACTTTAAAGTAGAACACTCAATAACAGTTTCATTATAATATCGATGGAAAGCTTATAATGTGCAGAATACAATACATTTTTTAAATTAAGATATCAGAATCAACTAAGGCACAATAACCAATCAAAGTTTGCTACTACACCCCCCCCCTCCTTCATCTAAGGTAATTCAGAGGTCAAATTAAGCCTGTAATTCATGACGCCACAGAATGTACACCTTTCTTGATTGCTGATCTATGCAGTGCTACAAAAGGCAAGCCTACACATGAATAGGAAGGGGCTTTAGTTGTTGCTGTGGTACTGATTGTGCTATTACTGTAGTTGTAGTAGAGATATGCATTAAAAGAAATGATACTTGGTCGCAAAATGTGTCTGGAAGACTTGCGTCTGCCAATGATCTTCCCGCAGTTGATGCAGTTTACCATAAACTATGCATGGTGAACTTTAAAACTGAAGAAAAAAAAATACCAATGAGGAAAATGATGAGGAACAAACAACAGTAGTTGATTGTGTTACTAAGATGTAAGAGTATTTTCTGGATACAGATCATGATGCCGACAGTGGGGTATACATGAAAAAGAAAATACAGTGGCACTTAGGTGAGAGGTTGTATAACTGAACTGAAAGGAAACCATGATGTAGTTACATTTCGTAGCACAGCTAGTGCTATTCTGTATGAATTCCACAAGCAACCAAAGAACAACACATCAAAGCAGGAGAAAATGAGGATCATCAAGACTGCTGCCTCACCGTATAAAGAATGACGTTAAGTTATTAAAAGAAAATTACAAGTGACGCGTTTACCTGCATTTCTCACAGATTCCCTGCAACTGCTATTGCGGAACATGTTTGTTGGCCAAAAGGTAGATTGTGATGCTGGCATCTATTGGGCAAGCCATAATGCACGCAATACGTCCAAGGGTTCTCCTTTCTCCTCTTCAGCTTTGAATACAAATGCATCATCAATTCTCATCTCGCTTTTTGATCGACACACTGCATGCGCAATGCTTCTAATGCTCTTATCCGGTGGTTAAGAAATATGAAAGAAGTGCGGCAATTTCTCAAGAGTTCATTCAGTTTATTGCAAATAATATCGACACTCCTGATGGATCAGGTAATTTCCACAGATGGGCACATTGCTACCCTAACCCTAGGGATAAAGTACTGTAAGCCTGTACTAAACGGTATCCGCGGAGGACTTTGCTACTGTTGGACGTATCAACATTGAATACTTAAAGGCATCTACAACTGTACAACCTCTGGTTTACCAGCCGATTGTGAATCGGGGACCAGAATATCCAACATTTGATCTTGATGTGTTGTTGAAGACATTTTTACTACTGCGGTCCCCAAGGCCTTCAAAGGTCCGGAACGATACAGATAATAAAAACAACGGCAAGTACCATGATCAGTCATCTTCTATGTTTCTCCCCATGATTGACATGAATCCTAGTGATCCATCCTGCATGTGTTTACTAAACTCTGCGTTTTGCTTGTATCCATGCTAAACAGTATAATACTATACACCTGTTTGGACGTTTGATAAGCTACTCTGGTGGAAGGCACTCACAATAACCAGGAGCCAGCCAAGTGACAGTGACTTGAAGCAGATCATTCTGCAGGGCATTTGATGACGGGCTCAGGACCCCATGAACTTCCTGAAGTATAGTGTATGCCATGTATGCTTGGTGGAAAGGCTATTTCTAGAGTTGCATGTGCGGAGCCATTTACTCGTTGATGCTGCTCTTAATACCATGCTGATACCAGACTTGTATAATGTACATCTGCAACGAGTACAAACAACCTCTGGAAGCTCCTATAGTGATCACTATAGGAATTTCCAGAGGTTGTTCAGCACCCAGGTGTTCCATGTGGAGTAGCTAATTTCGCGGAGCAGCCCACTTAAGTTCTCTCTTGAACAACTACTAACGGACAGCATCTTCTTGATCTTCATTGTGATGTAGCAATTGAGGAAGAGCAGATCCTGGAATTAATTGTGATGCAACAGAAGTTTAAAGCAACAGTTATTGTCGATGATGACACAAACCTTCTCATCGTGCTGATCTTCTACGCTGATCTGAATTCAAAGGACTTCTTTTTTTTTGCACCTGAGCCCAATTAAGGCAACTCCAAGAAGAACCGAATATGGAATATTAAACAGCTGAAGGAAACTCTAGGAAGTAGTGTGTGTGACTACTTTCTCTGTGTCGTGTGCTTCTGGACTGCGACACAACGTCTCGCATATTTGGACTAGGGAAAGGCGTAGCACTGAAGAAAATCATGAAGAATGACGAATTCTGTGAGCTTGCCATGGTATTAAGTCAGCCGGCATCATACCTGAAGGAGGCCATTATTCCAACTGGAGAGAAGGCACTTGTATGCCTGTATGGTGGTGACTCAATAGAAGATTGCGTAAGCAAAGACTTTCCAACCAACTTCAGCAGCAGGAAAGTTCCACAGTCTGCGTGTGTACTATCAGATATTAGAATGGAAAGGAATGGCAGACAGCCTGACATCGGGAAACTGAGTTGGCAGGTCATGGATGGGAAGTATCTTCCAATAAAAACTGATAAAACACCAGCTTCCGCATAACACCTTAAGATCATCAGATGTGGATGCAAGAAAGATTGTGCAGCCAAGAAATGCACGTGCTGGAAGTATGGCATCCAATGTCCAACAGCCTGCACTGATTGCCATGGCACTAGTTGTATCAACTCACCACCATTATAGGCCTACCTAGAACTTGATGATACTACTGATCAGCATGCCTCATAAATGTTTGTTTGTTGGAGACTACAAACTCTAATCAAATTAGAATATGTATACTTAATTGTAGGCCTCATGACCTGCATCATGTTATAACAATTGCACTGGGATTGTAAACTAACATAGACATAGCTGCTCTGAAATGCATTGTAAGGTGAGATTCAACACAAAATTGATTAATCCACTTTTAACAAAATGTATGTATATATATGAAAATTAAAAAACCTAATTATGAAACATTTGAAATATAAATATATTTGTACAACATATATAAGTGTTGTCGCAATTAGTCTGAATGTATTCAAGGTAACATAAGACAAAAAATATCATTATAATAAATTCTCTACAAAAATGTTTAATTTAGCAGCCATTTTGAATTTAAGCAAATTAAAACACTCAACCGGGCATATAAAACCTTATGCAAACAAAAAAATTCTTGGAAATAACATTTTAGACTTTAAAAGTACACTAAAAGTGTGCTAAAAGGTATGTATGGTGAATATTTTGACCAAATCTAGGAAAAAAAACCTAGAATTGGCGGCCATTGTGGATTTATGGAAATTAGACACAATTAGTCCACTACACGGATAATGTAAGGTACGGGCTGTACCCCTACATAACCCTATAACAGCTCTTGTGTTTGTACGAATACTCATAAGGGCCAGTTTTTCTGAACTGATATTTTTGTTTTAGTTGTTTCGATATAAAATGACATGATATTTGCCTAGTGCATAATGAAATAACATCATCTGCTAAGGTAATAAATTGAGCATAAATTACATGTTGGATTGTGTGGGTGTGGGTGTGCGGGGGATTTGTTTCAGGTGTGTGATGTACCTGTAGAATATGGGTATTTTAGTTGATACACAATGTACAGCAGATCACTTTTCCTACTCCTTTAGTGCCACAACAGCCTATACAAGTTGACAAATATGA